AGAGGGAGAGCAGCTGGGGACTCTAGATTCATAGGAAGAGAGGGTCCAGGAGGCCAACTTGCAGAATGTGCCCTTTGGAGTTATAAATTACTATATATGCCTGAGTGTTTTTGTTTTTGTTTTTTAAACAAAGTTAAGGTGAATAGCGAGAAATACTGTTAACTGATCAAGCATGGAGGGGATTATAATCATTGTAATGAAACAAGGTGTATGATATGTTGAATGTAAAACTGATGATATGCCCTGTAAACTTTCACTCTATCCACAATAAAAACTTCAAAAAAAAAAAGAAGAAGAATCAATTCAGGAAAACTAAAGTTTTCTAAATCACTTTATTCCCTCATTCAAAATGAAAATAGTTTTTGAGCTCTTTAGATAAACTGCCCATAAATTGCATCTTACTGTTTTCTCTTCACTTCGTCATTCAGTTATTTGCAGGCTTCCGCTAACTGGGAGGATTTCTGGGCTTTGGGACCATCCATGTTTGTACTGGCTGTTGGCAGTCTTATTTTACAGAAGAATGCCAATGAGATTATGGTCATTGATATTTAGTGACCATGGTGTTAATGTCTGGGTATATTGGGCACTAGTAACATAGAGGTCCCTTTCAAATACAACTTTATATTTGTAGAACACTTTAGAGTTTGCTAAATGTACTCACATGCCAAATCTCATCCTCAAAATAAACTCAAATGAAGTGTTATTAAGCTTATCATAAGGATAAGGGAGATGGAGATTCAGAGAAATGTCAACATAGCATAGAGCAAGGGCTAGATTTAATTTATCCCATTGACACTTTTTCTGGAAACCTACTGTGTGGGGGGGATCCATGGCCGCCATCTTAGACTTTTTTCTCCTGAGGTGGTAAGAGCTCCTCTCACAAACAAGTGCAGGTTTCTGACTGCTTTATGTTACTCTGTACTTACTCTAGGTAGCACTTAATGTTCCAAAACTACAGTTTGACTCTGAACCTGAGGGCAGATGTCTGGCTCTTCCTCTTAGAAGAGGCAAACCTTTCCAACAGCCCCTGTGGAACTGAGGTCCTACTGGACCAGCAACTGAAAAGGGCCTCTTTTGGCATGTGAGATAATTGCTTGGGAACCTGTCCCCCAACTTTCAATCTCTTTCATCCCTTCCCCTCCCAATTATTCTGTTTTGTATACAGAGAAAGAGAGGTTTTCAATTTGATCTCGAGTCCAAATGGGGAGCCAGGCAGGCAACATGAGACCCATATTGTTGTTGTTGTTAAGTGCCATCCAGTCAGTTCCGACTCACATAAACCCTGTATAGGGTTTCTGAGGAGTGACTGGTGGGTTTGAAACTCCAATTGCTAACCGACCTTGTGATCGAGTGCTTATCCTACAGCACCACACCAGGACTTTGTCCTACTTTATCTTGAACCAAACCTTTCACTGGTCGTTCAGTTGCTACCGATAGTAAAACCATCTCCAACTTTATTATAAGATTTGTTGCTGGATAAAATAGAAAAGAAGTAAAAGCAGTGTTTGAAGAGTAGGAATTTACAAGAAAAAGAACAAGGTGGCACTAATTCTGCCTCTAATTGAAGAAAAGGGCAAACTGTAAATCAAGTTGTATTTTGAAGAGACAAATGACATTTAGTCCCAACTCTATATCGACAATGCAATGAGACAATAAATCAGGGATAAGGGATGCAGCAGTGATTGCCCAAGAAAAGTGAATTTTAAAGTTTTGTTTAAAGAATTGTTTAAATCTAGGTGTTGTGAAAACTCACAGAAACATGCACAGTACTCTTTAACAGAAAGTTTCTCTTTGAATTTAAATCTACAGTCATGTTTTTCATATTCTTACTTAATAGTAGTTGTTGTTAAGTGCCACTGAGTTGATTCTGACTCACAGCAACCCTGTTCAGAGTTTCCAAGGAGCAGCTGGTGGGTTTGAACTGTGGACCTCGTGGTTTGCTGTAGCTTTGATTTACTTTAAACATCCCTAGTGACATTATGGGATAACTGTTGGACTGCTAACTAGAAGATCAGTGGTTCAAATCCACCAGCCACCCTGTGGGAGAAAGATGAGGCTGTCTGCTCTCATAAAGCTTTAAAGTCTCAGAAATCCTATCCAGGGTCACTATGAATCAGAACCGACTTGACAGCACTTCCTATCCAGGGTCACTATGAGTCAGAACCGACTTGACAGCACTTAACAACAACTATTAAACATTAACATTGTTTTCAATAGAATTAAACTGGAACATCTGAATTACCAAATCAAATGGTAGTCCAGTATTTCATTACAACAGTATTCTAAGGAGTCCTGATGTGGCACCCTGGGTTAATGTGTCAGACTGCAAAGTCATTTGAACTACAAGTTTGGTGGTTCAAGCTCACCAGCTTCTCCCTGGAAACCCTATACAGGGTTGCTATGGGTCAGAATTGACTTGATGGCACTTGACATCAACAGCAAGGACTCCTGATGTGCTGTTGTAGGATCATCACTGGATGGCAAACCACTAGGTCAGCAGTTCAAACCCACCATCTGCTCCTCAGAAACCCTAAACTGGGTTGCTGTGCGTTGGAATAGACTCGACTACACTTTAACAACAACAAGGAGACATCTATGGATAGTGCTATTAATGTGGACTCAGTATATTATCTAAAATATTTGTCCTCGAGTCCCGAAACCCTACGGGAAAAAACAAAACAGTTTTATTTTATCACAGTATATGTAATAAATATTGTAGTGTGTAGTTCGAGGAGCCCTGGTGTGGCACTATGGGATAATGCAGCAGACTGCAAAGTTGTTTGAACTTCAAGGTCGGTGGTTCAAACTCACCAGAGGTTCCTTGGAAACCCTATACAGGATTTCTATGGGTTGGAATTGACTCAACGGTACTTCACAACAACAAATATAGTTAGAGGACTGCAGGGAACAAGTACATTTTAGTCTTGGTTCTGAAATTTTAATCAAGTCTTTCAATCTTGCTAAGTTTTAATATTATCATTTGTAAAACCAGAAATAATAATTGTTATGTCATGGAATAATTAAATTGAAAATACTTGATAGCAAAATGGCATACAAAAAAGAGAAAAAAAAAATTAAACTGAGGTGTCTGTATGTGCCAGGAGACTCTTAAGAGAGCTCTTGTACGTCCTAGATTCTACCAAGCTAAAATTCTAAATTAAATCATTAATAAAACACTTTTAATTAAATCTAAGTAATCCATATTTCACCCTTAATTTTAGTACATGTAAAGGATATTATTATTAAATCTCAAAAGCAGACTAAATTAATAATCAAAAATAAAAATCCTTCTTATAAACATTTTCTTCCAAATTGTGTCTTCCATTGGCAGATTGATACTTATAGTGAAAACAATCTGTATAAAGTTTTCCAAAATACTTTTCAAAGGGACCCAAAATTAGCTGTAATAATAAGCTAAACAAGCATACTAGTTAAAATCTAACACTAAAAAAAAACCTCACTGTTATGTTATTCCACTGCTTAGACTATGTTTTGGAGTCCTGGTATGCCCCTCTTGGATAAGCACTGTGTATTTTAAACCCACCAGCCGCTCCTTAAAAACCCTATACAGGGTCACTGTGACTCAGAACCGACTCAATGGCACTTAACAACAGATGATATTTTATACCTAGAGATTAAATACTTTCATAAAATATTTTAAAGCATTCTGTAGGTAAAATTTCCTCAAACTGAAAACAACAACAACAACAACAAAGAATTAAAGTCCATTAAAATATACTACAAGAACATTCAGGTTTTCTTGGAAAAAAATTTAGAAACAAAATTAAGTAAATTTTTTAGATTAACGTTAAAACTGGTAAAATCAGAAAATATTTAAGAATCAATCACGTTTTATTTTTTAATAACTGCATATGTATATTTCACATTTTCTTTTAAAGAGTAATCTTATTAAAATATAGATATGAGCCTAACAGTGTTTTAGTAGTGTATTTTTCTATTAAACACATGCATACAAAAAATATATGTCTTCATATAACAAAACAACACGATGAGGTCAAAGTCTTCCATTTAACTTTATCTAGAAACAACTTTGAAGTAGTGAGACACGTTTTTTGTTTTTATCATTTTGGTATACAGTTAAACCAGATTTTATTTTCTATAGGTCTTTATAGTTTTTTATTAGCAAGATAAGCTAGCTTTGAAGATAAGTAACTTAAAAGTACTTTAATACTTGATACTTAAGATTCTAGTTAAAATACACATGGCATACATATTTCTTTATAAATATCTAAGCTACACATAGATATTTTGTTTCTTAGCATAGGTATATCAATTAAAATATAAAATGTTTTTATAACAACATGATATGAGTTTAACACTAGAAAATAGAAGACAATCACCAATTCAACTTATATGAATCATATCTGGGTAGTTTTTTGCATTTTTGACATGTATATCATATGTTTCAAATACATGGTCTCTGAAATATATTTTTTTACTCCCCCAAAGTTAGTGAAACACCAATTAATATTTTTATTAACTTATTATTTATTCTAATCTAATCTATCTAAGGAGTTTGTTATTCAAATCAAAGACTTTTGCAATGAAACCAAAGCGTACAAGCTTTTAATTTTTTATGCTTAAGTGCTGTTTCCCCTTTATATACCTTATATAATAAAATACATTGGGAAAATCTAGCCTTCTTAAGAGTACATTAAATAATTACTTAGATGATGAAGAGTCAATAAAATTTTCAAGGTCTGCTAAAGAATTATGAAGCATATCATTTATATCCTGACTTCTAAGAAATTTTTTAAGGGTGTCTAAAGCAGTTACTGCCTCATTTTTTGATGGCAATGTGAGTTCAGTTTCTGGAGACGCACTGTCTTCCTCTTCATCAGAAGTACAAAATTCAGTCTCATCTGATTTACTTTCTTTGGTCCATACCAAATCATCATCTGATGCTGCTTCACATGTCTCCAAATCATCATCCAGGGCAGCATACTCTTCTATGGATAAACCTTCAGGAAATTCCACTCCTGCCGCCTGCGCATGGGCAACCAAATCAAGACCGGTGTCTGCCTCTGCCTCTGCCTCTGCCTCTGCATTTGATGTGTCACCTTCTTCCTTCTGGGATTTGAATCCTGCCTCTTCGTAGCTCTTAATAATGGTCTCTGGCGTTACAGACCGCCAACACAGATGCAATGTGTCAACTGCATCTAGTAGGGAAAATGTAAATTCTTTGCTGCTTTCAACAGAGCTTAAAAATTTCTTGATAAGATGATGTCGATATTTGATCTTAAGGCTTTTAATAACACCTTGCTTCATAGCTATAAACTTGGAAGACAAACATGATGGAAAGAATGCTAACTCAATGGATTTTAGGTTCTTTACCTCTGGATGTGCAGGAAAAGAATCAACAAAAATTACTACTCTTCGCTGTTGGGCTTGAAATTTTTCATCAAGCTTCCACATCCATTGTTCAAATACTTCTGAGGTCATCCATGCCGTTCTGTTAGCTTCATAGTACACAGGCAAGGATTTTATGCCTTTGAAACAATGAGGATTTCTGTTTTTCCCAATGATAAGCAAAGGCAGTTTCTCGGAGCCATCCATGTTTGCCCCAACCACCAGAGTTATTCGATCTTTGCATAATTTTCCAATTGAGCATGTTTCTCCTTTAAATGCAAATGTGTTTGTAGGTAACATTCGATAAAGCAATCCAGTCTCTTTTATATTAAAAACATTCTTAGGGTGATAATCGTTTAAATAATAAGGAAGTACATTTTGACACCAGACAGTTGAAGGGTCTACAGGTGTAGCTGTAGCTTCTGCAGGTTGAGCTCTGAATACTAAACCATACCTGGATTTAAAGCGATCCAGCCAACCATTGCTGCACTTAAAATCATTATGTCCCAGTTTCTGGGCAAAATCATTAGCTTTTAGACGCAACATTGGACCATTAACTGGCACATTTAGACACTGTGCAATCCGATACCACCTCATTAATGCTTCTTCCAGATCTGTGTAAAAAGCCGTCCTCAGTCTTTTTCTCTTTGGATCAAATCTCAGCGATTCAAAAGCTTCTAGAACTTTGTCTTTATTCTTCATAATAGAAGACAATGAGTTTTTCTTTATTCCATATTCAGCTGCAATCTCTGCTTTTTTCTTACCACTTTCCACTGCATTTATGATGTCGATCTTTTCTTCAATGGAGAGACTTTTCTTTTTCTTTGTTGCTGCGGTCAGAGTGGAGGCATCACCAGAGGCTTCTGCCATCTCAACCAGTGCTTCTGTAGAGATTTCTCGTTTGATTTCCTGCTGTCTGGTTCTTTCATTCAATTTCTTCTCCAGAATGTATCGCGCTTCATCTGTTAAACGTTGTTAAGTGCCTACTCATTCTATTCTTTTGAAATTGATAACTGAATACACTATCCCCCAAGAGATCTGGATACGAAAAATACTATATGCAGCTGAAATATTTATGAAGAGAAACTTCCTTCCTAGGACCTTGTGTAGCTCACTTTAGTGTATTTATTCAAACGTCCCGAAGTCAGGCTAAAATAGAAATCTCATTATGTCAAACTTGTCCAGTCTTGCTGATATATTTTTGGAACCTCAATCCTTTAAGATGATCCATTCTATTCATGTGTGTATCCAGCCTCTTATTAATTCTCCACAGAAGGACTCAGAAATAAGAAGAAAGCAAGCATTTGGTACTTTTCACACAAAATGTTGCTGCTACCCATTAATTTCCAAGTCTCTTGAGGGTGGCAAAGAAAGTAGTAGAATTCTCCTAGGTTTTCAGGATGTATCTATCTTCTCTGTTTGTTGAAAATATTTTAAAAAGGAAGAAAAAGCAACAATTTTAGAGATGATATATCAAATGTTATTTAAAAAAAAACAAACATCTATACCAGTTACTTATGCTGTTAACAATAGTGAAAAGAATGGAAATGTGTTTCTTAAAAACACAGAACCAAAGCTTTGATAAGAAATGCTTACCTCCTGAGGAGCCTCTGTAAAAAGTTCTCCAAGGCTGCTCTGGGTATTTGAATCCTCACTTTTATTTGAGTGCTTTGTAATATATACTTGTGAAATAATTCAGACAAATTTGATCTGTTTTGAAAATGTGGGCTTACCAAAATTAAAGAACTAAAAATGATGCTGGATAGCTCGTTGGTGGCTATTTTTTACATAAAGTCACAGACTGCTTCCCGTGGTTTCTCTGAAAGAAAAATATAGTCAGTAGTCACAAGATCCAACTTTTAATAGCACATGGGAGACAGCGTATCCTTCATAGGCGAGCCTGGTTGAGCATGCCTCACTAAAGAAATCAAATCAAGTGATTAATAATTCCATTTAAAAAGTAAAAATCAAAATCTCATTCTGTCAAAATACTTAGAAACCAATCCCATTTCAAGCAATTTGACACGTTGGCCACGTACACAAAGACCTGAAATACTTGATAAAATTCACAGAAATCGACAAGTTATAATGAGAATATAATGTAGAAAAAGACATGGGCTGCAAGTGAGAAGGAGAATAGCCATGTGACATATCTTGGACTTCTGGTGTGGTGCTGTAGGATCAGTGCTGGACTGTGAGTCACAAGGTCAGAAGTTCAAATCCCTAGTTGCTCCTTGGAAACCCTATACAGGGTCACTATGAGTTGGAACCAACTCGACAGCACTTAACAACAACAACGTATCCTTCAGGATCTTCACTGTCTTATTTTTTTAAATAAAGGCTCTACCATGGTGTCCTGGTGTAGCATTGTAGGCTCAGCACTGAACTGTGAACCACAAGGTTGGCAGTTCAAATCCACCAGTCACTCCTCAGAAACCCAATACAGGGTTGTAAAGAGTCGGAACCAACTTGATGGCACTCACTACTACCACCAAACTATAAATACATGGGCTATGGTCCTAGACAGACCTGAATTGAGAAGTGACTATTATTTAACAAGGAGCTCTGGTAGCATAGTGGTTAAGAGTTAGGCTGCTAACCTCAGGGTCAGCAGTTAGAAACTACCAGCGTTTCTGCGGGAGAAAGATGAGGTTTTCTGCTCCTGTAAAGATTTACTGCCTTGGAAATCCTATACAGGGTTACTATGAGTCAGAACCAACCCCACAGTATACCACCTTCACCATTATTTAGCATTTATGTGACTCTTGGCAGTTTACTTAGTCATTGAAAGCCTCAGTTTACTTATCTGTAAAATGGTGGTATCACCTACTTCATAGGGTTGCTTTCAATGAGAGGAGTGGGAAGCTCTTAGTACACACAGTATTTGTTACTGTTATCTGCCACCAAGTTGACTCAACTCCTGGGGGAACCCAAGAACAACTGGATGAAATGCAGTTTGGCTGTGCACCATTCCCAGGATCTGTGAACCGTAAGGTTTTCATTGGCTAATTTTGAGAAGATTACCAGGCCTTTCTTTGTAGTACAACTTAGTATGTAAACTCCACTGAAACCAGTTCAGTATCAGAGCAACATCCGAGCTATAGGTTTATTGTTGTTAACTGTTGTTGAATCGGTTCCAACCCACAGTGACCCTGTATAGTGTTAACAAGGAGTAGCTGGTGAGTTTGAACTCCACACCTTGCAGTTCAAACTGACTTCACAGTCCAGCGCATTAACCCACCACACCACACCAGGAGGGGGTAACAATACATGAGAATTGTACTGAATCACAACTGCCCCAGTACAATATTTAGCACATGACTAAAGTGTTCAATAGATGAGTGCTGATGGCCATATCATTATTATCTTTTCTCTACTTTCAGCTGTGTGAATTTACAACTCAGATTTTATTAGGTCCCACTTGGATTAGAGCCCTGGTGGCACTGTGGGGTTAAGTGTCAGACTGCTAACTGCAAGATTAGTTGTTCAAAACCACCAGCTATCCTGCAGGAGAAAGATGAGACTATCTGTCCCTGTAAAGATTTATAGTCTGGGAGTCACTGTGAGTCAGCATTGACACAACAGCAGTGAGTTTGGAATCTGGTTTACAACAGAAGGAAGAATCCCATTTTAAATATACACTGAAAATAGCGCTCTTCTTAAAGAAAACCCTCCTGCGAGGTTGGTCGCAGAGCCCCAGATGGACAAAATAATAGCAGGTCACATGATAATCTGGTGTTATTACTATAGGAGGCAGCGTGGGACTCCATTCCTTTAGTTCTTCTATCTTCCCCCCACATTTCCCAGATGATGCATACATTATAAGGGCCAATTGTTGGCAAAATGCCTCTGCCTTCTTTGTCCAACTCTATGGAGTAGTTTTTATAATAATAATTACTACTAGCATGGTGTTGTTAGAAAAAAGACCTTAATAATAAATAATAATCATAGCCCAGGGCTTTAGTTTATAAATTGCTGTACTAATTGCACAATGATCACACAGCTATAATGCAGTAGAATACAGTCTGAAATCTAGGCTTTCCAATGTCAAGTCTACTGGTCTTTTCATTATATTATGACATAACACTGGCAGGGCCTTCTCTGACCACAGTTACACACTCTATGATCCCAGCAACAAGTCGAATCAGAACTTTGAATGCTTTACAAGATAAAAAAAAAAAAAAGAAAAGAAAAAGTATCAGGAGTCCTGGTGTAACACTATAAGATAAGCATTATACTGCTGATCACAAGCTCAACAGTCCAAACTTACCAGTCACTCCTCAGAAACCCTATACAGAACCAACTAGATGGCATTTAACAACAGCAACTGGAGAATTCTGTGAACACAAATAGCAGCCATATACAACTGCTATGGAGAGTTGACCTTTCTTAGTAAGTAACATTTACCAATCCCTACCACAAAAGGAGCTCTGGTAGCGTAGTGTTTACGAATCGGGCTGCGAGCCTCAAGATCAGCGGTTTGAAACTACCAGCTGTTCTGTGGAAGAAAGATGAGGCATTATGCACCAGTAAAGACTTACAGCCTTGAAAACCCTGTACAGGGTCACTATGAGTCAGAACCGACTCCACGGCACACAGCCACCACCACCACCATCCTGGTGTGCCGTTGTCCATCCTGGTGTGGCATTGTGGGTTAATGCACCAGACTGCAAAGCCATTTGAACTGCAAGATTGGCAGTTCAAGCTCATCAGTTACTCCTTGGAAACCCTATGCAGGGTCGCTATGGGTCAGAACTGGCTCAACAGCACTTAACTACAACAACCACCAAAAAAAGTCTTACTCATAGGAGGGACTCCTCCCGGTAGGATTTTTTCTTGCCATTTCCTGTAAATCTAATTTGTTCAAAAATTTTGTTTAATCTTGTTCTGACTAGGAAGATACTAACCTCCAAAAATTAAGAGGGAACAAGAACTACTTTTTCAAGAAAAGACAAAACCATCTACAATTATTCTCCCAGAGGAAAAAGGAATCAACACTACTTCTTTCCTTATATTCCTTCTTCTCTTCCTTCTGTCAAAATTTTTTTAGAAATCAGTCCTATCATCTCAATTAACAGAAAAAAGTAACTTGAATTTTCTCATCCCAAGTAATCCCAAAGATTACTGATCAAAATTAAAATAGTGATATCTTTATGTAGGGAGATTTTTTCCCCCTGAATGTTAGCAGTATACATTTCTTATTAAAGTAGGATTTAAAACAGTAATTCATAATTTTCTGTGAAAAGATCCAATATATCTTTATTCCTGAAATAATTATATTACTAATGCAAAACCAGGCAATTTAGGTCTTTTCCTTAGAAAAAAATAAGGCAACAACACTGTGTAATCAATGAAGTTGATATTCTACATGCTCCACCAGGTAAGGTTTGAGTTCTCCTTTGGAAAGTAGTGGCTACAGCTAGTATTTTTCAGAAATATTCACTCTCTCAATTTAGCTCATTAACCATTCCATCCCTTGAAAAATATTACAGTAGAGAAAAGTTATACTGCATGTTATGAAATAGCTTCTCTTGCGTTAATAATAAAGTCAGCCAAAGAATAAGAATACACAATTCACCAAAAGACTTAACAGTTGAACTTCCATTAAAGAAACAATGGTCAGCCCGACCAGTCATAAGAGAAAAGTGAATGTTCTTTTAAAAAGAAAGATCATTTTATTTTCTTTCTTGAGAATGATCAGAAAAGACTGGTGGAGGTTGGGTACGGGGCATACAACATCTAGTGTTTGCCAGGGTATAGCAACATAGATTGTTGGATGGCACACAAATTGCTACAAAGCTGTCATTGTTAAGTGCCATCCATTCGGTTCTGATTCATAGCAACATTTCTAGGGTTTTCAAGAAGTGGTT